AGCTCAAGATATACAGGTGGCCGAACTCATACTACCAGACGGTGCTATGCGCTCGTTGACGGACCTTTCTCTATTTCCAGGGCTGGAACCTGTCTCGTTTGATTTCCACGGTGAGCTCGACGGTATGTACATTGGGATGGGCGATGATGAAAGGAAAGAAATATCGGCTAGGCGAGCTCCATTGGACTACTTTGGCACGACAACGAACAGCCTACCAGGCCAACTGGAGATCAGGTCTTTGGCTTCCCTCGAAGGGAGTGAATCACATCACCCGCCAGAGGCTGGTATGTCAGAGTCTTATTTTTCATCTCCAGCTTCTTGGGCATCAAGGAATGTATGTCCATGTGCTAGTTCAGCATTCAATATATTGCAAGAGATGTACCGCGCTGAAGCCACATGTCGATTGGAAAGGGGCTCTGGTCTGCCGTCGAACGACCACATCCTGAAGATTAACCGCACGGCAGCTCAAAACCTTGATCTGTTCTTATCTCGGGACTGTACCGACTGTCTCGAGGATACCAACATTCCTCTCTTGATTGTAACCACTATGTCAAAGGCAATATCATGGTACCGAGCCGTGTTCGATCGCATTGATCAGTACTCACCCACCAAGAGCCCTGTTAACCCCATGGAACCTCTCCCCGTTACACCAATATATTTCGGTGACTTTGAACTTGATGCTGTTGCTGAGCACCGTATCACAGCCCAGGTCTTGCTCTGTGAGCTTGGATATTATAGCAAAGTTCTGTCCTTAATAAGAGAGAGTGCGCTTGGAACGCGCGATGGGCGAGAACCAATAGGTGCTCTTCTTGGGGCTGTTTCTCACTTTCTATCAACGACACTGAATGATTTAACAAGTAAGGTGGATGAATTTTGCACGTTCAAACCGTCCTTTACCGTTTGTTAGGAAAGCAATCGTGCATATATCGCGAGGCAGGGTTGAAATATTTGGCTGTCTAGTACCGTCCGTATATCCTGCCCTTACTATACCTACCTATGATGCACCTAGGTAGGAAATTCCTTTACATCTGGTCTGGCATAATAGAGACTTAGTTTGCTCAAGTACAGTCAATTAGCCTAGCTTCGAGCATTTTGCCCCCAACATAAGGCTCCACGTATCTTTCAGTCGTTTTCTCTCCCATGGGAATACCTCCACTGTACCTCTATAGGGTATCACTCTAGTGGCCGGCAATTGGACGCGAATGTAACCCAAGAAGGTGCTCTAGCAGACAAGAATCCTAGCTGTATTTAATGTCTATTACTTACCATACGCCTACACGACAGTTTCATCAAACCGTAGTACGGTCACATAAAGAATTTTTCAATCTGGTTCACTATCAATATTGCAACCGCGAACCTACGGGCACCTGTTCTATTTATAGTCATTATACAATTAACAAACAGACTGGGCCAATATCGGCTTCATCCATGGTTTTATGCCAACATTTAAACAAAGGCAATAGATACATTTTGAGAAAAATTGGAGACATTGAACCATACAAAAGTAAACTGAAAGCTGCCTGGTTGGTGCCTTTCACACCTTTAGTGTTCCCATGAACCTCTCCATATTGTGGATATCATGTGGATGGCTTGCCCTATGGTCGCGATGAGCTGGTTGCTTTGCGAATAACATCCTAATAGTCTCCAGTATGTAGACCGGCCATGGCCTCATTGCAAATCATGCACTTACGATGCAAATAATACAATGCAAAACCAGACTTGGAGCTCGCCCGCCGAAGGCAATTCTGCGCACTGTCCCCAATATCAATTTCGTGTCTTCCACTGCCTGACAACACGCTCTTCGATCTCATTGTCCTGACGGTTCACTTAACACATTGTGAAGATTAGAAGCCGGCACTGGATGCATCACCGCGAGCCCCCAATCCCTGTTACATTAATCGAGGGCCTATGTGATATTCTTCATCGTCTCGTATTCTGAAACAGTCTGGAAGACAGCAGAACCTGCCTCCCAACTTGCTATACTTGGAAGGGTCACCCTAGTCGTGGATTGCAACTCAAGCCCTCATCGAGCCCTCGTCCTACTGACGTCAGCTTGTTTATTGTTGCCTGTTCCTCTTAGCTTGTGCCATTGTAAGATGATTGTTGCCCAATTAGCTGGATTCGTGAAAGCCTCCATCGTATTAGAAGCCACCCTTATGAGAGGGGGAGAGGCTGTCAGGCCAGAAGTTGCGACAGGTGGCAGAACATTTGATTTCGTTTGCTAACTAAAAGCTGACCCCAGCCACAGCCCGCAAGTGCGTAACCCCCTAGCTCAGCATGCTGGCGCCACCGGATCGCTTACGATAGTCGAATCTGTCATCAGATATTGAGTTACCTCCATCCAGTTCTTACATGCATAGCTACACTGACTTCTCATTTCGCATTGTAAGAAACCATCTTTGCGGTTCTCCACGGGACATTTCCCACAACCGCGTGCGCCATCGTCAGACAAGTGAAGTTCAACACTCGGGCTATTCGTCACTTGAGTACACTATGAACGCCGAGGGGGTCATCTAGACCTACAATGTACAGGTAAGAACCTGAGGATACCCAGTCCCTTTGGTGAAAATCCTTGTCCATAGCAAAGATACATAGTTCGATGGCCCACACATCTCTTGCCAGTACCTTTTCACTATTGGTTATACAGTAATACGAAAAGGCAATCTACGAGATACCTCGTCTAATACATCCTGAAGCGGTTTAGTAATGGTATCGATTCTTCACTGAATTCTCCGCATGAATCAATCCCGCTGACGGGATCGGCCTGACAAGCTTCAAGGTCCCGGTGCAAAGGCAATAAGGTCAAAATGATCATTATTGGTGCTGGTGGCCTAGCGGTGTTTACGCCTGCAAACGATTTTCTAAACAATGGGATCGACTTCAGCGTATACGAGTGGGACAACCTAGAGTTACGGTGGACAGGCTGTCTCATCCGGATGACGAAGACGCAAATGAGGGCTTTCGAGCTTGCCCATTCAGGTCACAGGTAGCCACTATCCACAGGAGGTTCTCTCAGACTGGTGGCTCTCTATCTACCGCGCCTGCGACCTATTCCTACCGGTTTTGCCCTTTGCTGGACCTCAGCCGCTTGCCGGGTTACGCTAAAGCTGCTTCGATTAATCGCTTGGTCCTGTGCGATGACCTAGTGAAGCGATCAAGTGAGCTAGCATGGTTCTTTTGAGAATGCTTTCATTCATTACGAGATTATGCTTGAGCGGGCAAGGAACAGGTGGTCATTTACTTCACAGATGGGACTTGCGACCGGTGCGGCCTGCTGACCGGGACCGATGGGAGTGCCTCCAAATATGCTAAACGCCGTCGTAATACGTTTGATATTCGACACCCACTCGGAAATAGATCAGAATCAGGTTGGGGCTCGGAATCTAGTGGAAATAACAAGGTAGTGGTCGTTTCACGTCAGGAAGAGACTACCTCTTGCTCGTTTTCAGAATAGTCACATTATGGTCGATAGCGGGTCAACAGATAAAGCCGCCGATGACATGTAGGCTGCTGGGGATTAGCTGTTTAAGGCACGATCTAAGCGCTATATGGTGTTTCGGTCGAGCTGGATTGACATAGGCTGCCGAACTATGTGCAAGCGGTCGCCTACCGAACACTTGCAATCACTTTGCGAAGTCCAATTCAACGAGGATAGTCACCCTTAGGTGTAGTTGCTCTGGGATACAATGCATGCCATTCGGCAGGCAAATAGGTAGGACAGTTTGACTCACGTAGTTGTCTTTGAACGTATAGGCTAACATTATCATGAGGTCGAGGGCAACAGGCGCTCCTCGACTATGTGAGATCTTACGTGAACTCATCCATCTCGATCACTAGGCCATGGATAGGAAGACTCCGCCGACTGAGGATATCAGTAAAGCGTGTAATCGCTACAAGAAGGATATTTTCCTCCGTGTCTTTCACTGGGTAAAAACGAGCGGGGCCGCTGTTGCTGACCATGGAAGCTCTCGTGGATTCCTGATGACACCCCTCCGCTGCTATCGTTGCCCAGATACCGACTTGACGGTATGTTTAGATATCTAGTTGCAGTACTCATGAGCGTTGCGATTGTGGTTGCGATCCTTGCTAGTCGAATTGGTCAGTTGTTCTAGCCCAAAGATGCATCCCGGGTTTGAGTTGAAGGGCAGCTTTTATTCCGTAATATCTCGATTCGCGTCTTTTCGAATCCCTATGGATAACTAGAGGTTTATTGCCGTTTTTATTTTATCTTTCTATGTGTTTTTCGTGCATTCATTTTCAGTCCTTCGTATTGTTCTTATGTTATCCCACGTTTCAAAAATTACATATATTCAACAGCCGTACCCTACTCACTGAACAAAAATATCCCATCTACTCTCAACTAAAACTGACACTTTACTCGACTAATTCCGACATCCTAGTACATAGTATCTACTTTAAAGTAGCAGAAACACAGTGCTCCAAAGTCATTCCACACCCAACATCTTACCAAACCCAAGAATAATGAACCCAATTATGCACTAAGCTCAGCTGACTAACTATACAGCACTAGTTATGCAATCCCCGCCAAGCAGTCAAAACTCCACCACTTAATCTCCATTAATATATAAAAAAAAGTATATGCAAGCCAGAAAACTTGCCACAGGTCACAAATTACGTCAGTTAAGCTAATACGAGATAAAAACAAGAATTTGAGCAAAATGGGACATCCCAGGACATTTTTTCTCCGAGAAAATATATCCAGATAGGTTTGATTCGATACATTGCCTGGACTGTTGCCTGGACTGTGCTCTATGAGACTTGTGGATGGCAGGTCAGAGTAAGCTAGCATCAGCTACGTCTATATGGTCCTGGATACGAGGTAGTTATATAGGAAACCTCCGTAGAAAGGGTTTTCGGTGGATTGATGGGTGAATACGAAAAGAGTACCTGGTAGCCCAACAGAACTATGCCAATATGTTTGCCTAGCGACGACAATAACGACGTCTATGGAAGAATGGAAAAGAGCAAAAAAAGAAAGAAACCCATGGCGGGGATCGAACCCGCAACCTTGAGATTAGACTGTGGATGAATTAGTAAAGGAGTTGAGATTGGTAAATTTATATGTGTGAACTGACAGTCTCACGCGCTACCATTGCGCTACAAGGGCTAGTTGGCGCACATACTGGCAATTCGTCATTGTGGGAGTTGACGAAGATTGAGTTCCGTGTCTCGAATGATAGGATCTGGAGCCGGACCCACCATGTTTTCGCTGTCAGACATTGATTAATTTCTAGAAGAAAGACCGTGCTAGTGTCATTATTGCGTCAATCCGCAGGCGATATCTGAATCTATTTGAATCTGTAGATAGAGATGGACTTGATTTGCATGTTGTACTTCATGACACTCCAACCCTAATGATTTGGATACGTAGTTTATTTTACACAGGACACAGGATATCCCAAGAATCTCCACAAAGAAAGAAAAACCCCACCCACTCTGACAAAGACGAGTGGATAACCACGCCTCTGAATCCCGGCATGCCTGTCTCTTAACCCTCCAAGCGCCGGATGAGATCATACCCACCGTTGCACGCCTCCAATCGGAGAATTTACAAGCCCACACTGTCTGCCGCGCCGTTAATATCATGTCGATCTTTACTGTTCACTCTTCCAAAAACTGTGGATTGGCCGATCGCGCAGTGGTGGCATGATCGGATTGACGTATTGATTTGGATGACGTGAGGTGGGTTTCAGTTCCGTGTGGTCGTGTTGGACCCATGGGTAGGGTTTCGCTGGCTCAGCAGGTACTGGTTCTGCTACGTAAAACAGTAGGGTGTTTACATAGTACTACACAGCTGTTTTGCTTGAGGGGCTTGATCGAGGACGGGGGCCGTCGGAGTATTACCTGTGAATTGAATGAAATACTATGTACTGTGTAGTGTGTATAAGGCTGTGGGTCTGGATAGCCTAGATGGAGTCGTATCGGAACTATTTTAATATACTTTCAGAGGGACTAGCACCTCAAGGTTAATTCCCTTGATCTATTTATTTTGATCTTCTTATTTCTGCCTATCAACTGACTGACGTAAATTGTGGCAAGGTCCGGGCGAGCACACGTGTAACAGCGTAGCAGGGCTAGAAAGTTAGTATCTGACGCTTAAGAGTCCATTTCTATTTTCTGAACAACTTTTCAATATTCTTCAGTAGATGCTCTACTGAGCTCTTAATACATAGCAGAATATAGTAGAGTCTGGAGGACAAACGTGGACTTTCTAGAGTAGAGAAACATCTAGATATATCTCTTCGACACCAAGTTCACCATAGTTCAAACCTTATGTCAAGAAAACTCTCGAAGTATACTGAAGTTCCAGTACCATTGACCTATAGGTCCAACATGACGTATATAGATCTCTAATGCCGATAGACATGACGTATGTGGATCTATGATATCTTGTATTCAAAGCGTTGTTGAAGTTATTTAATAGCACAAACGATCAGTATCTGGGTTGTAGTATCCGCAATTCTTTCATAATTATAACGATCCACACAAATTCACGAGCTTTAACGAATACTATACCTACTCTATCCATTAATCTAATTACCTTACACTATTTGACCTCCCAAGATAGGACAGCAACTCACATCGCCCTTCTCACCGCTGAAGACACCCTTCAGGCTACGACCACCATCATACCCTACCCCAGAACCAAACATGTCGTCTCCCACAGTGCAAAGAGCAACTGGCACTCCTCGAAAGCTCCGAGCCGGATCCGGCTCCAGCGCCGGACATGTCGCTGAACAGAGTCCCTCTAAAAGAACACCCCAGAAGCTCCAAGTCCGGAGCCGCAAGCCGATCGAAGAAGACGTCCCCGAAGAACCGGCTACCCCATCCCCGAAACCACGTAAGACTGTTCAGGGTGAGCAGCGTGATGCTCCCGAGGAGACACAGTCGCAGGCTTCCGGGTCTGCCGGGGGACTGGGAGGACTGGCTGGTGGTCTGACCGGTCAGGTGAAGGATACTGCTGGGGGGTTGACGAGGAGGGGTGAGCAGACTGTCGCGAACGCGACCGGTGTTGATTTGTCGTTCTTGAAGGGGCTTGAGGTTAGTGAATGGGGTCAGGTACTGGGTGATGATGGGAACCCAGTTGGTCGGATTGTAGAGGGCGAGCCTCAGGATCTTGCTGGATACGCTGTTGGGGATAATGGCGAGATCCTGGATGATGATGGCGACTTGATTGGTCGTGTTGAGGCTCTGCCGGAGGGCATTCAGGAGAATACGGACCAGGCGAAGAAGGCTATCGGTGGTCTTGCTGACATGAATGGTATTCCGGTGTCTGAGGGGGGTTTCATCAAGGATGAGGCTGGTGAGACCGTTGGAAAGGTCGTGGAAGGGGATGCTCAGGATCTCGTTGGGTACGCACCTAACGAGAAAGGTGAGATCCTTGACGATGAAGGCGACCTTGTCGGACGTGTTGAGCCTGTGTCCAAGGCTGCAAGTGCTGCTGGATCTCAGAAGTCGGGTTCTCAGGGCACCAAGAGTTTTGGAAAGAGTGCCAGCGAGGAAGCAACCGGAGAGGTGGACAAGGCTGATTCCACCACGAAGGATATCGAAAGCACGGCCGAAGAGAAAGTCGATGACGCCGAAGGGCAGCTGCCTCCCCTCTCTATACTTGAGGGCTTGAAATGCAACAAGCTGGGCAAGATCATCAACCCATCGACAGGAAAGCCAATCGGCGAACTGGTTGAGGGTGATCCGAAGAAGCTTACTAGGCTTGGTGCGACACTTGATGACCAGGGCCAGTTCTGGGATAACCGCGGGAATGTGATTGGTCGTGCTCAAACACTTCCTCAGCAGGATTACAGTGATGAGCCTCCCTTCGCCGGCTTAGATGGCCTCCATGTCGTCGAAGACGGATGGGTTGAGGACAGTAAGGGCAAGCGTGTCGGCAAGATCGTTGAGGGTGAACCTAAGAAGGTCCTCGGTCGCCCTGTTGACGAGGATGGAGAGGTCACTGACCAACATGGAAATGTCGTTGCAAAGGCCGAATACTATGAACAGCCGGATGAGCCGGAGCCTGAGGAGCCTGAGGTGGTCGACCTATCGAAACTGGACGGATTGACCTGCAACAAACTAGGATACGTTATGGGACCTAACGGAGTTCCAATTGCACGTGTTGTGGAAGGAAACCCTAAGGAGCTGGCCGGTAAAGAAATCGATGATGGCCAAATCTGGGACGGTCGCAAGCCCATTGGACGCGTTGAGCTTATCCCTGAGGATGAGCGCGAGAAGAAGCCCGAAGGCCCATTCGCTGGCCTGGAGGACCTGGTCGTGAACAAGGAAGGCTTCGTCGAGGACACCGATGGTAACATCGTCGGCAAGGTCACTGAAGGTGAATTGAAGAACTTGCGCGGGCGCACTGTGGATGAGGATGGAGACATTATCGACAAGTTTGGTAATGTCAAGGGACATGCCGAGCCATACGAGCCTCCAGAAGAGGAGGTAGTCGAAGAAGACTTGTCAGTCTTGGAAGGTAAAATCGTTAATAAGGCCGGCAATGTCGTGGACGCCCAAGGAAACGTCTATGGCCGAATCACCTCGGGTGACAAGCGACTTGCTGGACGGAAGGTTGACGGCAAAGGCCAGATCTGGGGGGACGACGGCAAGGTCATTGGTAAAGCCGAGCTTGTCCCTGGCGCTGAGCAAGAGAAGCCTGAAGGCCCCTTCTTCGGCTTTGATGACGCGGAAGTTGGGAAGGATGGCGTAGTCACTTCTGGTGGGAAGATTATTGGCCGTATCATTGACGGTGACGCCAAGCGACTCCAGGGACGCAAGGTCGACGAAGATGGAGATATCTTGGATAAGAATGGAAACACTATCGGCCGAGCAGAACGCTGGGAGCCGGAGGAGAAGCAACGAAGCGTCAACCCTATGGCTGGCCGCAAGGTTACTCGCGAGGGTGAAGTGCGTGATGTCGACGGCAACCTGATCGGAAAACTGACCTCCGGTAACTTGGCTACTCTTGTTGGCAAGGAGATCGATGATAATGGCTTTGTCGTTGACAACGATGGTAACAAGCTTGGCGAGTGTACCCTGATCGAAAATATCCCGGAGGAGGAAGAGGTCGTCGAGGAGGAGCCAGGCCCGTCGCCAGAAGAGCTCGAGGAGCAGAAGAAGGCGGAAGAAGATAAACAGCTGGCCAAGAAGATGAGCGCCATTATCGGACAAACGTTGGATCGTGTTCGACCGATCTGCAAGATGATTACAGAGGTACGCTACGGAATGATATAGCTTTCGTATCAGAGATTTGCTAACGCATGCACTAGCACATTGAGAGAGCCGAGCGTACCCCGAAAGAGGAATTGGATGAGGAAAGACTGGTAAAGGATGTCAAGCCACTGCTGGAAGAGGGAGGTCGAATTCTCCAAGAATGCAACGGCGCCATCCGGGCCCTCGATCCAGATGGTCGTATCGCAGCTACAGCAAAGGCTCGCGCTGCTTCACACGAAGCGTCTCCCGAAGAGTATGCTCTCGCCGATCAAATCAAGGAAATGACAGATACCGTCGTGAGTTGCATCGAGAACGGTAAAAAGAAGATCGCCGACATGCCTCATGCGAAGAAACAGCTCAACCCCCTCTGGGCCCTTCTCAGCGAACCCTTGTTCCAGATCATTGCTGCTGTTGGCTTGCTGCTGACTGGCGTGCTTGGGCTTGTTGGTCGTCTACTTGAGGGCCTCGGTTTGGGGCCTCTCGTGAATCGCTTGCTCGGCGGCTTGGGTCTTGACAAGTTGCTTGATAGTCTGGGCTTAAGCTCTATCACTGACGCTCTTGGCATAACTGGCAAGAAGAAATAAGGGTTCTCTCTCTGGGTTCAAAGTTCTCAGTTATGCTACTTTTGCTTGTTTGAGGCGATATTCTAATATTTGTATTAATGTATCATTCAATAACCGACAGAATGAATAGCCTGACGATGCCTAGTTTACAGATTGCGTTAACATTGGCGTCTTTATCATAGTATTTCAGAGTAAGTTTTAATAAGGGATTATTGCGAAGAGCAAAATAAAACTAGTGGTAAGAAGAAGAGAAAAAAAAAGATGATAGGATTCGAACCTACAGCCTCCTGATTCGTAGTCAGACGCGGTAACCAATTCCGCCGGCGAATGTGTACAG